GAACTTCCTCCATAACCCCTCACATAAGATGCTTTGCAGGTTTACTTTACTTAGTGTCAGTCTCTTTCCATTAGGCTGTATGCTTTATGGCTGCAGGATTTTTGTCATTTTCTTCTACCACTGCTAGATTTCCAGCATCTAGTATAGGGCCAGGCACGTAGCAGGAAATCAGCAACTATTTATCAGATGAATGGATAAACTGTTATTCTACAATGAATGCATTTGTTTATGTGTATGCAGACTATGATGGTAGAGATTTTTGCCTTCTTCACTATTGGGTCCTCAGACCTAGAATGGGGCAGAGCACAACGTAGCAAAACTCTAACACATAATGAATGAATGAAGGAAGAAATGTTTCTTCACAGCTTGGTGTAGCTCCTTCCAGGAATTTTCTCAGTATTTACAGATCTATATATGTTTATAAAACATACCAACTTCAAAAAACCTCAATGTGATCACTTGAACTTCCCATGGCATAAATAGTAATCTTTGTTTTACAGAAGGACACTCATTCCCTATCTTTTTCAGATATAATGTATCTTTTCTCCTCAGATGCATGAACGATGAGATACATGACAACATCCCTGATAACAGTGACTTATTAAAGTAATGATTTATAAGAGGAGGGGTGGAGAGAGGGCTGGACAATGCACCCCTCCCTCCATGGCACTATATCAGAATCTGGGCTAGGAATGTGGAGTTGGAGGGGAGTAACTGTGTAGTCTGAAAAATTTCCCAAGATGATTCAGATATGCCCTGCCTCGCCTTCTGGAGAAGCTCTGAATTGCAATGTACTTTTTCATCTAATCTCTTTTGTTAAAGTGATTCATCATTTACTATAAAAGTGCCACCATAACCTACTGAACCTATCTTCATTGTTGGCATTAGGATTTCTAATTGTTTGCGTTGAAAATAACAGCGGTACACATGCTTTATGCTATCACTGAAGGGACTTCTTTTTCATTGTGCATTAACTATTTGGTGACCACACACCTCAGTGTCCATGAATGAGGGGCTTCTGTGCTCCATGTTCCAGTGCATGCAGCAGTACTGTGCTGACGCAAGAGGTGAGGACCCCAATCTCAAAAGAGGTCCCCTGCACTTCCAGAGGCTCCTAAAATGAGCGAACATCAAGACAGAACCAAATGCTATCTTTGGCTCTCTACTCTTCAGTCAAACAAGCAACCTGGAGATTTGTTGATGGTGTCTACTGGGATAGAAGTATTACCAATAGTTCTGTTTTCTCCAAACAGGAGGCTAGAGACCCTCTGAGGAGCAACTCACTTCACTGGAGCACAAAACAACCCCATTTGCAAGACCTCCACAGAACCAGCTACGCTCCACAGTGACCTCGGTCAGTTCACGAAATTCTTTGGCGTGTGCTTTTCCTTTATCATTTCCTTAATTAAATTGGAGTAAAAACAACTACTTAATTGGAATAACAACAAAGACTATTATGATCTCACTATACTGTTGGGAGGAAGAACTAAGTGAATAATTAAAAACTTGATAAGGGTTTTAAACATGCAAGTAGTTAAGGGAAAGTAATGCGAAGTGATTATGGGACACTCTTGAGATAACACTCCAAGTAAGTGCTGAAACTCATGAACAAGCAGCAGGTCACTCTGGAATTTCAGGAACCTGCTTGGAGAAGATAGAGAGCCTTATGAATGACTGTACAGAAAGGGAGATAGAGTTTACTCCTTTGGTATTCTGTGACCCCAAACAGACCAGATATTAGCTGTCAAAGAATCTACACAAATCTGGTTACTACCTAGATGGTACTTGTTAGATTTTCTGAAGACATATGCTTTCATTGAGTAGATGACACTACAGAAACACTACACCATGTGCACAAAAGATGAAAGGGCAATGATGTTAGGTGCAACCTATTTTTTTTTTTTTTTTTTTTTTTTTTGCGACGGAGTCTCACTCTGTTCTCCATGCTGGAGTGCAGTAATGCGATCTTGGCTCACTGCAACCTCCACCTCCTGGGTTCAACCTATTCTCCTGCCTCAGCCTCTGGAGTAGCTGGGATTACAGATGCCCACCACCAAGCCTGGCCAATTTTTTGTATTTTTAGTAGAGATGGGGTTTCCCCATGTTGGCTAGGCTGGTCTCGTACTCTTGACCTCAAGTGATCTGCCCACCTTGGCCTCCCAAAGTGCTGGGATTACAGGTGTGAGGCACCGCGCCTGGCCAGCTGTAATCTAAATTTTAATAACAACTAGAAATAGCCTTAATGCTTAAATAAATAGATTTTTATATACCCAAGGAAAGATCTCCAAGTTGCAAAGAAAAAAGAAATTAATTCATCAAACGACTTACCCTATTTTTCTAAGAACGGGGGAAACTTGGGGGTCGAGGGGAAGGTTGGAGGTGGTGAAGAGTAATTTTTACTTTTCATTTCATTCATATAATTTGAAATGTTTATAGTGATAATATAATTCTCTCTGAAAAAGTATATTTTATTTATGTTGGGCCATTTTCCCTACACAACACAAGATTAAAACTTCGCTATTCTCTGACTCCTGCTTAAGTACTAATATGCTGTTTAACCTCTTGCCTACTAGTTCTGTTTTTTTTTTTTTTTTCCATTGCCATGGACACAAGCATTCATGTCACCCTCTTTCCTGGAAACTGAGTGGTTTTTTTCTTTAGGATTTCTGTGTACTTTTCCATACCAGCTATGCTCCTAGACAAATCACTACTAAGCTGCCTCCTTCCTGGGTTTTAAAAATATAATTACTTCTGGCAATTAAATTACTTCTTCTTGTTGTTACTCCAATTTAATTAAAGAAATTATATTCTAAACCAGATTTCAGACCCAAAAGCAAGAAAGAAATTGGAAGTGGCTAACACTTCATTTGTTCAGTATGGAGCAGCAACTCTCCACAATCCCCACTGATTCACACAAAAAAGAACTTTCCGTTTTGTTCTGAGACAGGGTCTCTGTCACTCAGGCTGAAGTGCAATGGCATGATCAAGGCTCACTGCAGCCTTGACTTGGGCTCAAGCGATCCTCCCACCTCAGCCTCCTGAGTAGCTAGGACCACAGGTACCCACCTCCACACCCAGCTAATTGAAAAAATTTTTTGTAGAGATGGGATCTCATTATGTTGCCCATGCTGGTCTCAAATTCCTGGACTCAAGTGATTCTCCCACCTCAGCCTCCCAAAGTGTTGGGATTACAGGCATGAGCCACTGTGCCTGGCCAAAAAAGATTTCTTTAAAAATGTATTCTGTCATATTCTCATACTTTTGAATTTCACGGAACAGACTCAATTAAAATTAAAAGTATCTGTAAAATGTGACAGAATGTTGCCAGGTAATCAGTAAAAAAGCCCCCCCAAAAAAGGATGAAACCTACACCTTCATGGCATAAAACGAAGTACATTTTCATCTTCCAAAAATTAACATTATCAGGCATGGTGGCTCACGCCTGTAATCTCAGCACTTTGGGAGGCTGAGGCAGGTGAATGCTCGAGCCCAGGAGTTTAAGGCCAGCCTGGACAACATGGCAAAACCTCATCTCTACAAAAAGTACAAAAAATTAGCTGGGTGTGGTGGTACGTGGCTATAGTTCTAGCTATCTGAGAGGCTGATTGTTTGAGCCCGGGAGGCCGAGGTTGTAGTGAATCAAGATTGTACCACTGCACTCCAGCTTGGATGAGAGACTGAGATCCTGTCTCAAACAAAAAAAAACCAAAAATTAACATATACTCAGAATACAGGACAATTCTTCAGGTTCATCTAGCTTTATGAGAAGAAACTAGATTTATAAGAAACCTACCACCTTACCTCATTTTATCATTTTTAACTTCCTACCAACAGAACAAAATTTATCATAAAATTTTCATCAAACTTAGGAAAGTGGAGAGAGGGGGTCAGCACATGAGAAGGGCTTTCAGCTCCATCAGTAATGATTTCACCTCAAGCTAGGTAGAGAAACATAGGTATTACTTCCTGTTTTTGTTTTGTTTTGTTTTGTTTTTGTTTATGAGATGGAGTCTCACTGTTGCCCACACCGGAGTGCAGTGGTGCGATCTTGGCTCACTGCAACCTCTACCTCTGGGTTCAAGCGATCCTTATGCCTCAGCCTCATGAGTAGCTGGGATTACAGGAGCACATCACCAAGCTCAGCTAATTTTGTTTTGTATTTTTAGTAGAGATGGGGTTTCGCCACGTTGGCCAGGCTGGTCTCAAACTCCTAACCTCAAGTGATCCACTTGCCTCAGCCTCCCAAGGTGCTGGAATTACAGTCATGAGCCACTGTGCCCAGCCGGTATTACATCTTATAACATTTTTTGTTTGTTTGTTTTAGATTGTGAACTAAAAAAATAGTTCTAGCATGAGATGGATTTGAGAAATTACTGATCTAGTTGAATGCATCCATTTCAGGATACAGTTAAGTGACTTGCCCAAGCAGACCTCAGAGAACAAGTCAAGGACTCTGCATTATTTTCAGCAGTCTCTGTGCATGTGAATGGAATTCAGGTCCCTGTACTGTTAATTATTTCCTTAAGCATTTGTTTGTATTTTATGCTCTATTCAAATTAAGGCATCAAATTGTATAAAATTCAATTATTTCCAAGTCTGTAGAAAACATTATTGCTACATAAAATGTAATAGCAAATGTTTGTCATATTTCAAATAATAGGAATCCTAAAGATATGTTGAGTGAGAACCAGGCTTATGTATTAAAATATATTACCCATGTTTTTCAGCTTTAAATTGATCTAAGAGGCTTTGAGGAATAAAGGAAGGCGACTCTATCCTTCATCTTCAAAGAAAACAGCTCTACAGTATCTATGGTAACTTGGTCCTCAGACCAAGACAGTAGAGAATCTCTTTCAAATGATAATGTTCTGATAGGTCTCTCCTCTTTTTATTCGCTATCTCTAATCACCAGAAATGTAAAAAACAGAAAAGAAAACACACACGAAAACCAAAAATAACAGAAAAAAAGAGGGATGCTAACTGGGTCTGTGGATACATACCTCACAGCAAAGTGCAAAACGGTTGGGCCTGGTTTCTTGGGCAAATCATGGTCAAGAACTCGGTGGTCTAACTGTAGCCAGTTCTGCTGACCTCTGTGAGAGCAAAGCAAAGAAAAAGGATTCAACAGAAAGTCAGAAAAGTTCAGCAACATACAGTGTTGGCAAAGCTGTGGGGAAATCGTTGCTCTCATACACTGATGGTAGGAGCACAAAAACTGTGAAAGCACTTGCTTCTGAACCAGCATTTCCATTTCCAGGAGTATATCAAGGCAAACTTGCACATGTGAGAAATAATTTGTATATGAAATCACTCGCTGTGGCATCATTTGAAATAGCAAAAGGGGTGGAAATAACTTCAATGTCCAAGAGGATATTGTTTAAAAAAATTATTTAAAACTATAGAGTGGCCAGGCACCAGTGGCTGATGCCTGTAATCCCAGCACTTTGGGAGGCCGAGGCAGGCAGATCACCTGAGGTCAGGAGTTCGAGACCAGCCTGGCTAATATGGTAAAACCCTGTCTCTACTAAAATAAAAAAAAATTAGCCAGGCATGGTGGCGTATGCCTGTAATCCCAGCTAGTCGGGAGGCTGAGGCAGGAGAATCACTTTAACCTGGGAGGCAGAGGTTGCAGTGAGCCGAGATTGCGCCATTGCACTCCAGCCTGGGCAACAAGAGTGAAATTCCGTCTAAAAAACAAACCAACCAACCTCCAACCCCCCCCCAAAAATAAACAAACAAACAAACAAAAAAACTATAGAGTGAAATACAATGCAGCCATAAAACAGGCTGAAGAACATGGGTGTGGTGGCGCACACATGTAGTCCCAGTTATTCAGGAAGCTGATGCAGGATGATTGCCTTGAGCCCAGGAGTTCGAGGCTGCAGTGTGCCATGATCACAGCTGTGAACAGCCACTGTACTCCAGCCTGGGCAACATAACCAGACCCTGTCTTTAAAAAAAAAAAAAAAAAAAGCCAGAAAGCCTCTTTATAAACTTATTTTGAACAATTTCCAAGGTACAATATTAAATGAAAAAGCAAGATGCATAGCAGCAAGTATACAGCCATTTTTTAACTTAAACAAAGAACAAACATACATATGTGCATGTATATATTACAAAAATCTGAGAGGAAAAACAAAAAACTGGTAACATTAGTTGACTTTCGAGGTAAAAAACTAGGCCATATGTTAATATTACATTTTTAAGAAATATGAAATATTTTAGATAATCAAAGAGAAAACTTCTGGTTCAATGAAATACAATACACAGGTTGGGTGTAGTGGCTCACGTCTAGCACTTGTAATCCTAGCACTTGGGAGGCCAAGGCAGGCAGATCGCTTGAGCCCAGGAATTTGAGAGCAGCCTGGGCAGCATGGTGAAACCCGATTTCTACAAAGAATACAGAAAAAATTAGCCCAGTGTGGTGGTGCGTGCCTCCTGTCCCAGTTTCTACGGAGGTTGAAGTGGGAGGATCACTTAGGCCCAGGGAAGTCAAGGCTGCAGTGAGCTGTGATCATGCCACTGCATTCCAGCCTAGGCAACAGAATGATACCCTGTCTCAAAACAAAAGCAAAAACAAAAACAAAAAACCAGACACACAACAATAACACAGCTTTTTAAAAAAGTACAGGGTTGATGCTAGGCACAGTGGCTCATGCCTCTAATCCCAGCACTTTAGGAGGCTGAGGTGGGAGGATTGGCTAAGGTGGGAGGATTGCTTGAGCCCAGGAGTTTGAGGCTGCAGTGAGCTATGATTGTGCCACCGCACCCCAGTCTGGACAACAGAAGGAGAACTTGTCTCAAAAAAAAAAAAAAAAAAAAAAAAAAAGGCCAGGCACGGTGGCTCATGCCTGTAATCCCAGCACTTTGGGAGGCTGAGGTGGGCAGATCACTTGAGGTCAGGAGTTCAAGACCAGCCTGGCCAACATGGTGAAACCCCGTCTCTACTAAACATTCAAAAATTAGCTGGGAGTGGTGGCGGATGCCTGTAATCCCAGCTACTTGGGAGGCTGAGGCAGGAGAATCACTTGAAGCCAGAAGGCAGAGGTTGCAGTGAGCCGAGATCGTGCCCCTACACTCCAGCTTGCGTGACAGAGCAAGACTCCATCTCAAAAAGAAAAAAAAAAAGTACAGGGTCAAATACTCTCTGAGTGCCACTTCTGTATATATATTATGGGCTTACTGAGATTTAAGCATGTACTTGCTTATTTTACTTACTCAAGAGCCTCACCAAGTTCATAAACAGTTCTCTCTAGATTTCGACCCTTGAGGTATCAAAAGGACACTGGGGCTCAGAACTGTTTACGTGCCTTTTCCGAGGTTGTCCAACTAGTTCATCCATTTTAGGCTATAAATTCCCAGAGGGCATAGACCCTCTTTTACTTGCTTACATAAAATTCAATCTAAGAACATGCTGATGGTGGTAGGATAGCGTGTCAAAATGTAATAAAATCTAGAATGGGCCAGAAGACATTTTCAAAAACCTTTTAGTCCTTGAGTAAAAAATTAAAAAACAAAATCAGAAAATTCTAGGCTGTATTCATTATAAGTAAACAGGAAAAGTGAGAATAAATAATAATATTAGCAGTAGTAATAATAACAATAGCTAGTCTCTATTGAGCAATGACCCTGTGCCAACCAAGTTGGAACTCTTTATACATTAAAGCTATATTTTACAATAAGCCAGTGAGGAAAGTGCTAGAGCTGGGATTTGAATTCAGGACTTCCTTTCTTCCTCCCTACTCCCTGCCACCCCACCCAGTGGACTTGTATATAAAAGTACCCAGGACTTTCAGTACTGGAGAAAATGAGACCAGAGGGTTGAATCAGCTTTTATTTTATTTATTTATTTATTTATTTATTTATTTATTTATTTATTTATTTATATTTTTTTGAGACGGATTCTCGCTCTGTCGCCTAGGCTGGAGTGCAGTGGTGCGATCTCGGCTCACTGCAAGCTCCGCTTCCCGGGTTCACGCCATTCTCCTGCCTCAGCTTCCCGAGTAGCTGGGACTACAGGCACCTGCCACCACGCCCGGCTAATTTCTTTTTTTTTTGTATTTTTAGTAGAGACGGGGCTTCACCGTGTTAGCCAGGATGGTCTCGATCTCCTGACCTCATGATCTGCCCACCTCGGCCTCCCAAAGTGCTGGGATTATAGGCTTGAGCCACCGCGCCCGGCTGAATCAGCTTTTATAATGACTTCTGACTCAGTCTCTGATACTTAGCCGGTTAAACGCTGGAAAGAGTGTGTCTTTGTTTCCATAGTTACAAGACAAGGCTTTTGATACCTGTTCCCAGCTTTCCTTGCAGGAATATTATAAAGATAAATAAGCTGATTAAGTAACACAAGGGGAGGTCCTTAGAACTACTGCACTTGTGTGTAAAACATAATAAGATAGGAGACTGACATTAAGAGAGTCTTACACTATATTTCATCAAGTTTAGGATGCCACTGATTTAAAGACACATCCCAGTTTCACAGATGGTCAAATGTGTGTCTTAAAATATATAACATATTTTATAGTATCAGATCTCAAAAGTTTTCTTAGGAAAGATGTATGATTTTAAAAGCATAACAGGCTAGACATGGTGGCTCACACCTGTAATCTCAGCATTTCAGGAGGTTAAGGCAGGAGGATCACTGGAGCCCAGGAGTTCAAGGCTGCAGTGAGCTATGATCATGCCACTGCACTCCAGCCTGGGAAACAGAGTGAGACCCTGTCTCTAAAAAGAAATTGAAAGCATAATGTATACTTGTATGAACTTGCATGGAATGGTGTCTATGAAAGAATGAAGCAAGTTGTACAATAACACATACAGCATAAACCAATTATGTTAACCACAGATGCATGCTCAAAACACTATTAAATATTGATGAACATTTTTAGATATATTTCTGGAGAGTCACACAGCAACTTGCTAGTACTGGTTACCTCTGTGGAAGAAACTACAGTTGCAGTGGGAAGGTAATCAAAAGGGACTGGACTCAACCATGACATTAAAGAAGATATTCATGCATATATAATATGAAATAGTTTTTTAAAAGGATAAATTACAAATTAGATTTTAAAAAAAAATCTACCCACAATCTCATCAAGAGGAAAAAGTCTAGAAGAATTTTTTTTTAAATGCCTATAATTCTACTACTGAAATGTAATCAAGGTTACTTATTGCTTATAACTTGCTTTTGTCAGGTTTTCCCATCAGTAAATATAATAGACCTAACCAATATCTTAAAAAGACAGCCATATCCACCCCTATCAGGAGTGCAGACCAACCACAAAGCAAGTTTTATTTTTGGCTAGAATTATATCAACAGAAGGCCCATTGTCACAGTCCCATTGGAAGGGACAGTGATCAAAAGTCACAGTTGTGTTGTGAAGTCCATTTGTTATTTCTTGGTTAACAAAGCTTATTTAGCAAAGCCTTTCAAAACATGAGAAGGCAAAACAAAAAATGAAATGGGTGAAGAGATGGAACCATTATGGTGACCTGAAGGGCTGGTGCCTCAGGAGGGCCGTGACTGCCCTCTAGGGGTGAAAGACTCACTCTGCACACAGAGCTGCGCAAGGCACTAACAAGCCTAATCTCAGAAACTCTATCCCTCTCCCTATAACGTGACCTTGAATCTGTTGTCGGTCATCATCACTGCTTTTATTATGTAATTGCCATCTATTTTTCCGTTTCTCCTCTTGGTCTGTGGATGAGTTGTGGACAGTAGCTACTTTCATTGACAAAATGTTCCTTTCAGCTTTGCCTTCCTCTATTTAAAGTTCACCAAAGGCAAAACACGCTTGTGGCATCTAGGCTGGAAAATGCAACTCAGACGGCATCCTGGGAGGGCCCTCACTCAGTGGTTTTACGGGGGCGAAGGGAGGCAGGAGGGAAGTGCTGAAAGAAAATACTTTCCAAAAATATTTACCAGACAAAGAAAAAGCACTAGGCTTGTGACCAAGACATTCCAAGGAGACACCCTTAGACATCAGCAATTTTCCAGGCCCGCTCCCCAGAAAGGTAGAAATGGCCAATTTCCACCCCCTCAACAGCCCCGCTCATACTTCTTCTGAAAATAAACATGACTAGAGCCAGGAGACACCTCCCCAAACTGGTCATAATTCAGAAAGAGACTCTGCCTTCGCTTGCAGGGGAGTGCACAGAGGACATTTTGGAGCCAGGGTTCTTGGAAAGAACATAACTATAGTTATCTCCTTTGGCTCAGCCAAAGGCTGTGTGAGCCATTCTTCTCCCAGCGTAGTTTTGAGAAAGAAATCTCAGAGCAGACAACGAGAAGGGTGGCCCAAATAATTGAAGGAAGTCATTCCTATTATTCCTTTTCTTTTTTATTTTTGGACAGAGTCTCGCTTTGTCACCCAGGCTGGAGTGGCACAGTCTCGGTTCACTGCAACCTCCACCTCCCGGGTTCAAGTGATCCTCGTGCCTCAGGTGCCTGAGTAGCTGGGATTACAGGCGCCGGCCACCACGCCCAGCTAATTTTTGTATCTTTAGTACAGATGGGGTTTTGCTGTGTTGCCCAGGCTGGTCTCAAACTCCTGACCTCAGGTGATCCACCCACTTCGGCCTCCAAAGTGTTGAGATTACAGGTGTGAGCCACCACACCTGGCCTATTATTTCTTTTCTTTCTGAAGAGAAAGTCTTACAGTCTGAACCCCTTACTTATGCACTGTCTGGTTTATATTCCACTGAGCTTGGAGCTTTTCCCGAAGCCTCCCATGTGGCCAGGACCCTCTTTTCCAGTCTGCCACAAACATTGCAGCCTGAGGGACCTCTGACACTGCAAGTCAAAAGCCACATTCCTCCTCCCTATAACATCCTTCCATGGCCTGGATGTGCCTCCTCTATCTGTGTGACTAACAAGGCTCACCTATGATCTTGTCCCCATGATCATGCCAACGTCTTCAACCTTGGGCAAATGTACCTTGTCCGTTGCCATGTTCATTCATTTGCCCACAAAATAACTCTTGCCTAGAATGTCACCTCCCATCTCCCCTCCCATCTATTTAAAGTCTACCTGACCTGCAAGATCCAATTTTAGTTAGTCGTCTGTGTGACGCCTACTCCAGTCCTCCTTCAGTTTCCTTCTCAACACTCCCTTATTGCAATACATTGGGACGATAGCTCCCTTTTATTGTGGGCCTGTGAGATATACTCTGCATACCTCACCTGATTTAATAGTATTGAATACTAGTACCGTATTATAGGTGCCTTATGTAGTACATACTATATAAGTCACTATTATTATGTCCAGCATACAGATGAGAAAACTTGAGTGTCAAGAGATGTTAAGTAACTGATCTAAGGTCACACAGCTAGCTATCAAGATTGTCTGATACCTGCTCCTGCCTCCCTCTCAACCCTCATCCTGTACCACTTTGCCTCTTAATCTCTGTACTCTCATCACACTGGCTTTGTTTTTGTTTGGGACAGGATCTCGCTCTGTCGCTTGGGCTGGAGTGCAGTGGTGAGATCATGGCTCACTGCAACCTCCACTTTTTGGGCTCACACAATCCTCCCACCTAAGCCTCCCGGGGAGCTGGGACTACAGGTGTGTACCACCATGCCCCTTTACTTTTTTTTTTTTGTATTTTTAGTAGAGATGGGGTTTCACCATGTTGCCCAGGCTGGTCTGGAATTCCTAGGCTCAAGTTGGTCTGACTGCCTCAGCCTCCCAAAGTGCTGGGATTAGAGATGTGAGCCACTGTGACCAGCCTTGTTTTTTCTTTCTCAAAAAACAAATCACAAAAGTCATGCTCAGCCCCACCTCAGGAGTTTTGCACTGGTTTTTGTTTGTAATGCCTCCCCAAATTTTTGCACAACTGGCTCTTGCTTTTCATTACATGTCACCTCCTAGATCCTGTCCTAGTCCACCCTGTCTAAAACTGACCTCAAGTTTTCTTGGTCATGGCCTTTTATGTTCTTCAATGCAATTATACTTGCTGATATTCCTTTGATTTATCTGTTTGTTTACTTGTTATGCTAGACTATACCATTGCAATATGAGCTCCATAAAAGCAGGGGCCTTGTCTGTGTTACTCCTAGCTGAATCCTTGTGATCTAGAGCAACACCTGGCATTGAGCGGGCATTCAAAAACTATTTTATTTTCTATTTTTAGAGATGGGGTCTTGCTCTGTTGCCTCGGCAGGTGTGCAGAGGCGTGATCATAAGCTCACTGTACCCTTGAACCCCTAGGCTCACGCAGTCCTCCCACCTCAGCCTCAGTCTCCTAAGTGTCTAGGACTAGAGTTGTACATCACCACACCTGGCTGATTTTTAATTTTTTTTTTTTTTTTGGTAGGGATGGGGTCTCATTATGTTGTCTAGGCTGGTCTTGAACTCCTGGCCTCATGTAATACTCCCTCCCTTGGTCTCCCAAAGTGCTGGGATTACAGGTGTGAGCCACTCTTAATGTAAATATATATATATTTGAGACAACGTCTCACTCTGTCACCCAGGCTGGACGGCAGTAGTGCCATTGTTATAGCTCACTGCAGCCTCCACCTCCTGGGCTCAAGTTGTCCTCCCACTTCAGCCTCCCGAGTAGCTGGGACTACAGATGTGTGTCACCATGCCTGGCTGATTTTTTTTAATTTTTATTTTTGTAGAGATAGGGTCTCCCTATATTGCCTAGGTGGCTCTGAAACTCCTGGACTCAAGGGATCTGCCCATTTCGGCCCTCCAAAGTGCGGGATTGTAAGTGTGAACTATCGCACCCAGCCATTATTTTTTCAATGAATAAATTACTCCAATATTCATGTTGTTAACCCCTATTCTATGTGACCTCTGCCTAAATTATAGTCCTTATAGCAGTTACAATTTATACCACATAACCTAGCCATTGTATATTTATGGCTTTATGCCTTATACTGTTTGCTATGATTTCATCCACATTTGGAGTCAGCCTACATTTGTGCATGTTCAATCGCTGATTCGCAGGAGTTGATGCTGGCTATGGATGTCGGCATTTCCCATTTCATCCAGTAGAGGACAGGTCATACAGAGCCTCTCAAATGGTAGCTGCTGCGTGATTCAGAGTGAGGTGAGAGATGTCTAGTGTACTCTCTTCTGCCTTGTCGAGTCCTCTTTGGGAAATATCCTCAGTCCAGAATCAAAGTTTTCAGGTTTTTCTACTCCTCCTGATAACTCAGCTGCCTGGTTTTTGCCCAGCGCAAGTCTTGAGCCTGCTGGCATATCCTGGAGGTCCTAGGCTCACAGCCCACGCAGGCTGAGAATGATCAGAAGCCACAAGATGTTACAAGCAAATTAACTCTTTCTTGAGATGATTTTCCACCTGATTAAACTGAAGAACTGAAAAACATTTAAATTGGCAGCATTATGAAAAGAATGCTGGGTGGTTGGCCAACATATTTTATGTCTGGAACACATCTTCTTGCATTTTAATATTTAAGGAGCTCTTTGGAAATTATCTGCAGAAAGAGGAAGGATTCCTCTGATAATGTATTGGGCTGCATATAATGTGGCAAATTGGGCTGCCATAAAAAAGACAGACAGATACACACACACACACACACACACGACACACACACACACACACACACAGAGAAAAGAGCTAGTAAGTCCAAACACATTTGCTTAGTGTTAAATCCCCATGAATTTTATTTTTATTTACCTGCTTTGTTTTGGGGGAGCATATATATTGTTGACAAATACATACAACATTCAACAACTTAGCATAAAAGGCAAAAGGAAAAAAAGAAAAAGATAGTTGAGAAGGCAACATAAAATGGACCTACGTGGTAGTTTAAAAGTTCCTTCCGTATTAAACTATATACATGTTTTTTGAGTGGGTCACAAATTTGCCTTTAAGCTGTCTTGCCACCAACACCAACACATCAACTCAGTTTCAAGATGTGAGTTAATATTTAGTATTTCTATCACTGATATATAAGATAATTAGCAAGCACAATCACATTCAAAGACATAAGAAGCTACACTGGAATCAGGAATAACAAACTCACTACTACAAATTTCTAAAACACTTAAACAATATTTTGAGTTCCTAAAATGGTCCGTATCCCTTTTCTTCTCCCTTTGCAATAGTCCTAGGAGAAAAATCGCATATTAAAAAACCTTTAGCTAAGCAGGACACATTCTGAATCCCGGAGGACTTATTTCCTTTTTTGTTAATCATGGATGACAGCAAGTAGGTAGCCCAGGCAAACGGTAAAGCATCTAAAACTATTAAAAGACTTACGTGTCATCTATGAATGTTATTCCAAAATACTCCTTTTCTTTCAGGTTGAAATGTGAAGCCACTAGGTCCAGCAACTCTCTTGCTAAAAGTTTGGGCTGTCAAAATAAAAATCTGGTTAGAAGCAATTTGGTTGCCTCTCTCTTACTGCTACCACCTTCCTCTGCCCTAGACAGTTTAAAGCAGCTTTTGTTTATTTGTTTGTTTTCTTTTATTACCTGCCCTTGTTTGTGGATTAGGTTGATGTAATATAGACAATTCTTTAAGAATTGTGGGAAGGAGAAGAGATGGGAATAGGAATATCAATGAGACTATTGTTTTCATGTGTTTGCAATTTCCCCTCTAAGGTGCACTTACTAAGATGTTTTGGAAAAAATACTCTTTTATATGTAATGTGGTGCTAATGCCCAAGACAAAGAATATTAAACACCTTGCTGCTTGGTTATCTATGATATATAAAAGATTGCGGGAATCATTTTGCTTCTTGGTGGCCAGTTGAAGAAGCCCAAGACTCAAAGTTGTGGGGCTGCTAACGAAAATAATAATAATAATAATAATAATAATAATAATAGTTTCCATGTACTATGCTGAACTTATATCCATTATCATTTAATCCTTATAATGAGCTATGAGGTAGGCTTTTTATTTCCATTTTATAAATGAGTCAACCAAGGCCCAGAGTGGTTAAGCACCTTGCTTGATGTTACATAGTGAGTAAGGCCAGGGATCTGAACCTAGTCTGTCTCCTTCTAAAGCCTAAGCTTTTCCTTCCTAAGATAGAGAAATTGTACCCATTCCACACATCATCATCAACAGTAACGAGCACCTAGTTAGAAGAAGGATATAATCTATAAGCTTTTGGGAAGCTTTGGATCTGCTGAGAAGAAGCATAGGCTTGGAACCAGCTAGAATGTCTGGAGTGATAATTGATGCTGGATTTGGAGGGACTGGGGAAGAAGAGGGGAATGCTTGCAGGAGGACACTCTGGATGGATTCTTTCTGAACTTTAAGTCAAACAGCTTAGGGTGTATTACGATGGCTGTTGGGGATAAAAATGGACATGATTTAAAGAAAAAAAAAAAACGAAAAGAAACAGGCAGACATCTAGACTAAAGGTCTACTTGGGCAGAGCTACTGTTGACTGTATTATTTCACTCTAATTGAAGCCTAAGCATAGTGGGCTAGGGACAGGCCTCAGAAGAGAAAAGAATTTAGGTTTGGTTAGAGGAGAAAATTCTAGGCTAGCTGTAGGTGTGGCCTGTCCGCAGGGACTTTCACAATTTTTAAAGACTCTTGGTCCAGAGTGTTGGGTGAATAGAAAGAGAAGCATCAACAATTGAAATATCATCAGTTGGCTGGGCGCAGTGGCTCATGCCTGTAATCCCAGCATCTTGGGAGGCTGAGGAGGGTGGATCACTTGAGGTCAGGAGTTCGAGGCCAGCCTGGCCAACATGGTGAAACCCTGTCTCTACTAAAAATACAAAAATTAGCCAGGCGAGGTGGCGGTGGCCTGTAGTCCCAGCTACTCAAGACGTTGAGGCAGGAGAATCACTTGAACCCGGGAGGCAGAGGTTGCAGTGAGCTGAGATTATGCTACTGCCTTCCAGCCTGGGTGACAGAGCAATACTCTGTCTGGAAAAAAAAAAAAGTGATTTTATATATATAAAATCACTTATATAGTGCCATATATTTTACAAAGAGATTTCACTCACATATATAATCTAGCTTGATTTTTAACCATAATTCTTCTGAGAAGCCTAGGCAGTTCACAGTTGATGAAACTGGGTATTTCACTTGCAGAACGCCATGTAGCTGGACAGTGGCAGAATACAGATTCTCACCTCACAATAATCCTTTCAGGAAGTACTATGGTTCCCAATTTCCTGACAAGAGGTCACAGAAGTAATGTCAATTTCCCAGGGTCACAGAGCTATTAAGTGTCAAGCTGAGATTGGAACCTAAGTGTCTCTGAATCCATGTCACCAGGCTGTAATTACTCTAACATATGGACCAAGTTTTCTGACTTCGAAGATGCTTTTCTCCCCCTTGATCAATTCTGAGTCATTGGCTTTGAGGCAAAGATAACGGAGAAGACTGAATACAGACTAAGAGGCTCAGAGAGGGAAGGAGAATGAGCTGTCCCTGTGTGGGCAAAGCCTACCTGGGCAAGACTTATCTGTGTAACACCCACTTGGGCAACACCTACCTGGGCAAAACCTATCTGGGCAACGCCCACGTGGGCAACACCTACCTGAACCAGCAGCTCCAGTCTCCTATCATCGAGGAGGTGCACCTGGCAGTGCCTGCCTTCTGTCATCTGCAGAAACAAGACAGCAAGAGTGGTGTCAGGGCCACGGCTGGCAAGCAAACCTTTGGACTCATTGTGTCATTTATTTTAGATGAGATGTTCTCAGCCTAAAAATGGCTTTAGTTGAGTTAATAAACAGGCTTGGCCAGAAACAGATTTATTATATGGGAGTAACTGGGTTTAAAAGAAGAACAAATAGCACAGGCTAGTCAATAGATTGCAAAAATAATGTCCATACAGTCCACCGAGTTCAAACAATGCACACAAAATTATTCTATGGAAAGTAGGTCTCCATCCCAGAGGAAACTACTATATTTTTCCTGGAATTAATGTTTTATTTGAAAAAAAAAAAAAGCCAGCCAGGCACAGTGGCTCACGCCTGTAATCCTAGCACTTCGAGGCAGAGGCAGGCAGATCGCTTGAGGCCAGGAGTTTGAGACCAGCCTGGGCAACATAGTGAAACCCCGTCTCTACTAAAACTACAAAAAAATGCCAGGCATGTGGTGCACACCTGTAATCCCAGCTATTCAGTAGGCTAAGGCATGAGAATTTGCTTGAACCTGGGCAGTGGAGTTTGCAGTGAGCTGAGATCATGCCACTGCACTACAGTTTGAGTGACACTGTGAGACTCTGTCTCAAAAGAGAGAGAGAGAGAAAAAAAAAAACCCTTTATTCAGCTGGGCACAGTGGCTCATGCCTGTAATCGCACATTTTGGGAGGCCAATCAGGCCAATCAGCGTGGATCACTTGAGGCCAGGAGTTTGAGACCAGCCTGGCCAACACAGTGAAACCCCTTTCTACAAAGAATACAAAAATTAGCCTGGCACAGTGGTATGTGCCTGTAGTCCCAGCTACTCAGGAGGCTGAGTTGGGAGAATCACTTTGGCCTGGGGCGTTGAGGCTGCAGTAAGCTGAGATTGTACCACTGCACTCTAGCCTGGGTGACAGAGAGAGACCCTTTTCCAAAAAAAGAAAAAAATGTATTTATTCATTGGTGTGTTTAACGTCTCTCTGGGCATGGTAGCATGCACCTACAGTCCCAGCTACTAAAGAGGCTGAGGTGGGAGGATCGGTTGAGGCCAGGAGCTCAAGACTGTAGTGAGCCAGGATCATACCTTTGAATAGCCACTGCACGCAAGCCTGTGGGCAACATAGACCTCATCTCTTAAAATAAAAATGAAAAGTCTTCATTTTGGAAACTCTCCCCCTACTTTTAGTCCACCAACATAGTTTACTATCACCACCATAGTTAAGAACAGTTAAGATACATAGTTAAGAACAGTTTGATATATATATTTTTGATTATATTTAGGTTTTTATTATTCAGAATTGCAATACTAAAAAAATCTTTGAATGCCAAAATACTCCTTGATTAACTCATGTTCCAAACCATTTTATCTGCAGAAATCACCATCCTGTTAGTTTAAGAATCCTCGCAGACCACTTTTATATGTATTTTCAGATATATATTTACATATTAAAATATTTCATATTATTTTACTTTAGTATATATTACGTTGAATGTATTGTTTTGCAAATGAAGCACTCTTAATATTTCTGCGTGAGTGTAACTATACAGAAATCTGACATATATGTGTGTATATGTGTGTATCCGTGTATGTGTGTGTATACATATTTTTTGTTGTTGTTGTTTCTTTTTCAGTTCGAGTTAGGACTATGCTTCACTTGCTGTTTTGCCTCTTGCTTTTTAAATTCAATGTTTCTTGTTGATCTTTCCAATGTCAGCACATAGAGATGGACCTCATTCTTTTTAAAGACTCCATAGTATCAATCATTGTGTGGATACATGATAATTAAATAAGAGACACAGGTTGTTGCCAATCTTTTGCTATCACAAGCAATGTCACCATGAACTTTGCACATCTAGCTTTGTCCATGGATGTGGAATTGCTAGGTCACTTTTGAAAAGCAGGGGCAGCATTTTGTCTCTAAGCCGCTGTACAAAATGATAAGATCTAGGAACTCAGATACATATAAACCTAATTGAAGAAGAAAGTAGCCTCCATTACTGAGTACCAACAACCTATTCAGCATTGCATGAGTGTTTTATATACATTATTTCTGAGCGGCACAGTTACCTTCTGGGATTAGTATTATTATCCCCATTTAACAGATAAACTGAGGCTCAGACTGGGATAAGTAACCTGTTTTCAATGTGAAAAATACGAATTACTGAATTTATAGTTTTGATCGAACTCGGCTCTAAGGGTCTGAAAACTAGCTCAGCTGGTCAGATCATGGTATTATGAAGATGTGGCCCACAGGAACCACTGAGGTAGTGCTAAGAGGTAAGTGAGTAAGCTTTACTTTGTCTCATGGCCTCAGCCTATGTCCTTAATTCTGCAAAGCCAAGGTCAAATATACACCTTGGGTGGCAAGGGGAAAGGGAGCAAGTCTTTATTAGTTCTAGGCACTGAGCTGGGCTCTTTACATGCATTATAAAGCTCTGCAAAAATTTATGACATGGCAACATCCCCATTTTACAGACAGGAAATTGAGGTACAGAGTTTACGGTAATTTACTCAAAGTTACCTAGGCAAGAAAACAGTTAAGTCAAGATTTGAATTAATGTCTAACTTTAAAAAAAAAAAAAAAAAGTCATCTTTTTTTCTACTTTTCTATACCAGAGGAGG